TCCAGAGCTCATACGGTATTTTTTCGGTTAATCTTGATGGTAGTCTGTTTTGTAGATATGTGGCTGTTATTACGGTTTCGCCCTAATATTCCCTTTTGAGTCTCTAATCGAGTAGTAGGCATCTTGTCATTTCCATTACGCACTGATTTTATCTCTCTATTTGACCGTTTTGTTGTGCTGAATATGCTACAGAGGTTTGATGTTCGATTCCCTCTTCATTTAAGTATTCTTTAATTTGTGTATTCTCCTCCATTGTCTGTTCTTAAGACTTTTGGCTTCTTTTCAAATTTGTTCTTTGTCATGGTTATAAATTGCTTTAACTAGGACATCTTTTGTGGCTAACAAGTAGATCGTCGTGTATCTTGTATAATCGTCAATAAATTTTATGAAGTATTTCTTTCCTCCTAATGATGTTGTGCAAATCGGTCTAAAAATGTCCGAATGTATCAAATTCAGAATTGATTTCACTCTGTAGTTGTTTTGCTTGAAATGCGCTAATTCCGAAATTTTACTTGTGATGCATCATTCGCATTCTTTAGTTTTTTTCAATTTCTCGGTCGATTCTTATACCGGTTGTCAGGTCATCGTCCTTCTGCCTCTTAACTGCTTCATAATTCCTAAGCGCTAGTCTTCTTTCCAAAGATCCATGCTGTTTTTATTTCTTTTTGTAACTACGATTCTTGCTTTCTTCTTTTTCGATTCGATTCTCTTATGTAAATTTCTTTCTGTTTTAGCAGTTCCTATGGTTTTAATTTTCTTATTTATTCTGCAAGTGTTTTTTAATTCAACTGTAAATCCCTTATATGTGATGCTTCATACGGATATTAGTCCTCCTTCGAAGTCAAAAATATATGAAACATCTAAGATTTTTATTTCTATTTGTTACCCTCGTCGTCTGTGCAGTATATGTATCTTCGGACTTCATTTAAGTGCCATTAACAATTATTGGTTGCTCTGTTTTGCTTGTATCTCTTTTCATGAAAACTTTAATATTATCAGTCATATGACATGTGGCTCCTAAATCAACTGACCAATTTGACTTTTCGAATTCGATAACTTCGAAAGTAATCTAAGCAAAAGCGGAAATTTCCTACACTTAATATATGAACTTGTCTCATTATACATTTGTCACTTCCACATATAGGGAATGGTTCTAATAACAATACCTATGCAGATTCTAACTATAACTCATTATACTTGTATATATATATATATAATTTAAAGTAAAGTAGAAAATTCTGTACAATTATATACACTAGTGTGCAAAAATTAAGGACGAGACGGTTTTTTCAATATAACTTTGTACAAAAGCTTTCCAAATCAACACATTTAATACCGTAAGATCCCCAATACGTAAGGACATGAGTAATGTAAGCAACACTTACTAAAAGAGAAATCGAGGGATAAAAAGAAGCTTTATTGAAAAAGTAGCATGGAGCGCAATGCGACTGAAGGCCAAAACATCCCTGTGATGGGTGTCCAGCAAGAAACATCCGGTCTTTAATAGGGGATATGATCTCCCCTGACTGCTAGGCAGGTTTCACAGCGTCTGCCCATGCTGAGAATGAGGGTGTCAATGAGTTGTTGAGGCATTGCTGCCCATTCGTCTTGCAGCGCCAATCGAAGTTCCGGAATCGTTACTGGTGGTAAGGTACGAGCTGCCAAGCGTCTGCCTAGAAAATCCCATACATGCTCGATGGGATTGAGATCCGGAGATCGTGCCGGCCAATCCATACGTTCAATATCCTCACTCTCTAAGAACTGTTCGGCAGCTACTGTGCAATGACATGGTGCATTGTCGTCCATGAAAAGGAACTGCGGACACATACCGCCTCTAAAAGGACGCACATATGGAAGAAGAGTCTCGTTACAATAACGGGTCCCGTTGACTGAACCTGCGTCGAAGATGTGAAGTTCTCTACGACTACCAAGCATGATGCCTCCCCAAACGAGAACACCTCCACCTCCACACCTGTCCCTTTCAATGATGTTCCAGGGATGATTGCGGCTTCCCCGCTCTCACCAGATGAGTATGCGATGAGAATCGCTATTCAGACTGAATCTGCTCTCATCTGTAAAGAGTACTCGTCACCATTCATTGTCTCTCCAATTCCGGTGTTCCCAGCACCACAGAGAACGCCTTCTCCGATGGGCAGGCGTTAGAGGTACACACCGTACAGGGCGTCGTGCAAACAGACCACCACCGTGCAGTCTTCTGGCCACGGTAAAACGCGATATCGGTCGTCCAGTCGCCTGTGTCGTGTGTCTAGCGATTTCTCCCGCTGTCTGCCGCCTGTTTCTTCTGGCCTGTAAGGCAATATACCGGTCATCTGCGGGTGTAGTTCCTCGTGGACGACCACTACTAAACCCCCTGATAGCTCTTCCTGTACTTTGAAATTGTCTCCAAAGTCGTGAAACGATGCTGAAATCAATTCTGAACTCTGCAGCCACACTTGTCACACTGCGGCCTTCCTCCAACTTCCCAATGATTCGACCTCGGGTAAAAGCATCCAGATGTCGTCTAACAGATTGATTATTCGCCATTTCTCGCTGAGGCAGCAACTCGGTGTGATTTTAACTGCTATACGGCGTGCAATCTATTTGCCAGAAATACTGATCTTACACCGACAACATGCTTTATACTACTCAGACACTCCCCCATTAGGTCTACCTGCATATCTGCGCATGTGCTACCGTACATCACCTTACTTAATCTCCTGATTGGTCTTTCTGTCCGCTCTGCCTCTTCGTTCAGCTGATATGCTAATTTTTCGACTTCGTCCTTAATTTTTGCACACCGGTGTATATATATATAATTGTACAGAAACATCATTTAACAGCTTCAGAAATCTAAAAGGCAGACTCTTATAAATCAAGTAGCAAAAGAAAACACTTTATTTTGCTTGTTCCCATACCTTCAGAATATCATATATGTTTTTAATAATTGTCACTGATTGTCATGGTAGAAGAAACAATATTTAACTTTAAAAAATATATCAAACATCACTTTATTATATCCATTCCAACAAAAACAAATGGTATACGGCGAAAGAGCAGGAGCAGACTGGTAACCAACTCTCAGTGTTGTCAATGAAACTTTTTAGTGATATCAATTATACAAAGAAGATAATATAAAATGTTAACACGTATAAATACTTGTATATAGAATAAGTAATATTAAAATTAATTCTCGGTTATTTTTCCGTCAACAAACTCATAACTCTTGGCTAGATTATGAATTACATCTGTAGTTTTAACTTTTTTTGCTTTTCTTACGAACTTCTTATTTTTATTTTCATCATCATATATATCATCTTTTACAGACACTTTCGTTTTTGGTTTATTTCCGTGATTTCCTCTATTCACTTGCTTTTCATCCTTGAAAAATGGATTACTTTTGTTTTTGTTTTTTTCTTTGTAGGTATGTAAGAATATGCATTCTTTTTCTTAATGTCCTGTTTTTTTTTTTTTTTTTTTTTTTTTTTTTTTTTTTTTTTCAATAATTGCACCTTCGTTGATTGAAATATTTGAATGTGTTAAAATTCGTTTTGAAAGCAGCTGTCTTTTTTTGTTCCATGCCTTCTTTTCTTCTCGAGCATTCGAGTTTCGTTTTTACATATTCCAACGTCAGTTTTTCTTTTGAGCGTGCCTCTAAAGCTATAATAAGATTTCCGTAGCTTTTTGGTAAGCCGCTTAGTAAGTGCTGCAATATAACTCTCCTTTATTCCTTCTCCAATTTCCTCGTAGTTCATCTACTCTCTCAAGCTTTTTGTTGATGTCGTCTCCGAGTTTGTACTTGGATTTCGCTTTTAACGTATACAGTTTTCTGTGAAGGCAAAGTTTGTTGCAGAGACATTTTCTTTCCGTGAATTTTCTTTAATTCGTTCCACATTTCTTTAGGTGTTGTTTTATTTCTTATATATATACGATTTGGTTCGATTCTACGAGTAGACTTACGTTAGCTTGTTCATCTCATTCTATCCACTCAGCGATAATTTCTTCATACCATTTGCGATTAAATTTCCCTTTTTGCGGATTCATTTCTTGTTCGCATTTCCATAGCTGATAGCTGCCATTTTTCAATTTTTCACAATTGAATAGTTATTTCCGCAGGTCATAGCCATTTCTGCTTCTGTTACGCAGTACACAACTACCACTATTGTTTCGCTTTTCGAACAAAGGCTTGGCCTTTTCCATTTATCCAGTGGTAATTTATGACAGAGTTTCTTTTCTGTTTTTATTTTTATTCTTAATAGCTTATTTCGATACGTTTTAAGCGTTCGTATGATGCACTTAGTCTAATGATCAAATGCTGAACGAGAGCAGAGTTTATTTTGTTTGTCATCTAAGCGCAGTTAACTAACGATAAGTAAATATTAAGATAGAATCAAAGTTTCTTAACTCAGTAAAGGATAATCCAAACTGAGAACAAGAAAAACACAATTATAATTATGATTTTGTTATTAGCTGTATGAAAGGAAAAAAATATCGCGCAGTGATGCAAATACAATCGAAGCTCCATAGCGAAGTGCACAAAAAGGTTATGCAAGAGAGAATTTCTGCAGCATCAAGTCCATCATCAAGTCAAGTGATGAGGGTACCGTCGGATGAGCAGCTTCCTCACTTCCGTTTCCGATGGTTATTCGACAGATAAATGCAAAAAAAAAACCTTTGAAACCGAGGATTTTAATTAAAATTTAATTTGTTTAAGTTAAGTGAATTTTGGTTAAAAGAAGCAATAGAAGTAAAACGGTAAATGTTTTATATTACTCTAAATGCAAATCTATGAGTATATTATATAGGAAGGATGTCAATTACTAACACTAATCCGAAATTCTGTTACTGTAATATCATATTTGTTGCTTTTAAAACTAGCCATTTAAAATGTGTCAATCTTGAAATTGTATCTGTATCTCAACTTTTGCATGTTTTTTCAATAACTTTTTAAAGGTTTTCCTTAAGCATCTATATTTTTAATTTTGCATTTGCTTACTTTTCAGTTCTGTGCTCATCCGAACGTCCAACAACTTCTTGCTTCCATTTGGTACGAAGGTCTACCAGGTTTCCGCAGAAAAAATATTTTACTCCAGATGGCCGAGATCACAAGGATAGGCCTTATGTTTCCTGTCTTCTGCACAGCATACATCATCGCTCCCAAGTCATATTTAGGCCGCACTTTAAGAAAGCCTTTCATCAAGTTCATATGTCACTCGGCTTCATATGTTACATTTTTGTGTAAGTAAAAGTCATTTTCTTCGTGCTAGCATTCTCCATAACGTATTGCACCGGAATTTAATAGACATGGTTATATCTATTGAAAAAAGAAGATTAAATTAATCAAAGAATATTTTTCTGCATGATTTCTTTGCAGTTAAACAGAGATGTCTTGCATATTCTCAGAAGACAATATGATCATCAAGTCTTTTATAACTTCGAGATTTCATAATCTTAATCAACAGATGCTCGCAACGAAAATAATTTAAAGTAATATATTATGCTATACTTATGACTAAAGTACATTATTTAATTTTTCAAACGCCAAACATCAGGTTGTTTTTGCTCATCAAGTCATTTATAACTTCGAGAGTTCATAATCTTAATCAACAGATGCTCGCAACGAAAATAATTTAAAGTAATATATTATGTTATACTTATGCTGAAGTACATTATTTAATTTTTCAAACGCCAAACATCAGGTTGTTTTTGCTTAATTTTTTATTTTACTTTGGCGTGTTTTCCTTGTGTTTAGATGAAATTTAATTTTAGCAATTTTATATTTTTCCTGTGATCGCTGAAAGTAAAATAATTTGCTTCTAATTACTTGAGGAAGAGATTTGTTTGCAAATATGTCAAAAAAATATGCTAACTTTATTAGAATGCATTAACTTATACTCCGAATACGATAGCTGATAAAAAACAACTAATTTGAAATTGTAACACCAATAGCAGTACTGCATAGTTATTCACATATTTTCTTTCCAGATATCCAGCGTTCAATAATAAGCTCTTAATTGCTCAATCTACTGATCATTAATGACGTATACTTAATTTAACATTATTTGCTGCCTCGTGTTTTAACCATAATATTTTGATTAGCAATTTAAATAAAAGAAAACTCTTTGAAATTTATTTTAAAGAGCCTAAAAAAAGGAAGCAAAGCTAATATTTTTCTTTTACACCTCTTTCTTTTCTCTCAGTTCTGTTAATTCTGGCGTCCCAACGAATTGAAACAGTAGTAGTAGAATGGTTCGGAACGGATGAAATGAGGCAACGTCTGCACAGTGACGTCACAACCAAGAGAGGTGCACCACCTAGCGTTGTCGAATTAATAATTCTTACTTGGGTAATGGGTATGTTTCTTGTTCACATTGTACTATCATAAACTAAATTAGCTTATTATCTTCCTTTTTAATTGCTTATGTTTTAAAAACTTTCAACACCTCTTATCGCATTTCTTTAGTTCGGCTAAAACCCTAAGTTGCGCAATTTTTACGTGAAATTAAAACTTAATTTCAGTTTTATCTCATTAAACTTGAGTAAAATAACCAACGTACACTTGGATTTTATAAAATATTTAGCTTGATTACTGTACTTACACTTCAGTTTTACACTATCATATATGTACGCTACTTAGAATTATTTTAACTATTAATTGCTTGAATTTTAAATTACGAAATTAATTTCAGAATATGTTATAAAAGTATTTGCATAAAATTCTGAGGTATGTTTGCAATCACATGCCTTTTCATTTAAAAGCAACATGTAAGCTTTGTTTGTTTCTGGCTTTTCCTACGTATTTATTTAATACATAACCGCAGTTTAAGCTTGAATTAAAAAGAATTAAAAATTTAAATTCCTTACAAAATGCCATTTTCAGCAAATCTTAAGTAGAAATAAGGAGTTATATTCATTATACATGTTTCTCAGTTTATGGTTATTAACCTCGAGGTTTTTTACTTACAAGCTTTAAAATAGAATTTTTCGTTCATTTCTAGAAGCATATTTTTCAACCTAATTTCTAATATTTTATATATTTTATAGGTAGATTTTTTTTAAGTAAGGTTCGTTAGTGAAAATAGTTTGAAATTTCACTCATGTATGAGAGTGAGTGCGCACGCGGCCTCCCCGTTTTCATTGGGAAGAATTATGGCACCGCTTGCATTCACGGCATCGGGTCAACACGCTTAGTAGGGTGCAATTCAATTACTCAAGAAAGTCGAGAGACTGTGAAACACAGTCATACGATTCTTAACAGCAAGAAATGTGAAAACCGCGGATATTCATCGTAAGATATGTGATAGTTCGGTGGATCGAAGGGTAAAAGTGGATGAGATTATTCAAGAAATGTGAAAAGAATCCTAAATACCTGGCCGTCATCACTGACTGCAGAGTTCTATGAGAAGGGTACACAAGCACTAATTGTTCGTTATGATAAAGGGTTTAAATGGACCATTCATTCATTTCACTCTTCGCGGCAAGGCAAAAATTCATAAAAACTTACAATATCTTCATTAAAAATTGTGAAATACAGGAAAACATAAAACACCAAATACAGTTGAATACAGTTAAAAAATATTTTACAATTAATATTAGAGTTTCTAAGTAGAAAAAAGCAATTCAATCAGTGGCAAGAAGACAGAGTTTTCGGTTCACAAAATGGAAAGTTTATTTTTGGCCCTACTCAGCAAAATGACACTGAAGTTGGTGCACAAACTGACTTAATTCACTATTCTACTAAGAGTTTCCAATATAAATTAATGGAGGCCTCGTTAGGCTTAGCACAACTTAAACTTTTAAATAGTTGATAATTCTACAACTACTGTATGCATATTAACTATTAAAGCAGCTTAACCGAAACATAAGAACAACATAATTCAATCACTTTCAAAATAATGCAAATCAATGCAATCAATCAGCAAAAAATGCGCAATTTACCAACATATAAGCATATAAAACTGAGCTCACCGAGCCAGGTAACAGAGTAGTACACACACACACACACACATATATATATATATATATATATAAAATATACGTTTGGAGCGGACGAATGCAACCAGAAAGGGAGGTGCACAAGTATGCTATAGAAATCCCATTTCAACGTTCTCTTTTTTTAGTTATGCGAAATACATACAAATGTCACACAAAAATCTCTTCTGAATCCATTTTACAATCCATTTTGGAAAAAAAAGAGTCCTTTATTCTGTCCATACGTACAGATGTCACACAAAAGCATCGTTCTCATGGTCAAAATGGGGATTTTCGTTGAGGTCAAAATTAATATTTTCGTTGAAATATGATACCCGAAAGTTTTAGCGATTGCAATACTTCTTTTACTTCATATAAGGAAGTAAAAATAGAGAATTTTATGCAAATTCAGAAGATAAAAGTTTTTTGAAAAAAAAATATTTCTTTTCTTTTACTGCAAAATGAACTTTACTTTTAAAATAGACCTTGAACGTATTAAAATTAGCAGCTAGCTATTATATTTAATTTATTTTTCATCTAAATTTTATGTTCAGTAATTATTAAGCCTTTCATTGGAAGTTAAAACTTAATTTTTTATTAATGTCTTAATCTTGCATGATCAGTGTTCTAAGATTGATATTTTCATACAGAAACTAAAAGTCTTAGTAAAAGACCTAATCTTAACTGGCAAGTTGCTGTAATGTAACTGGCATCTTAACTGGCATCTGTTACGTTGCCAAAATATTAATAAAAATTTCTTTTTTAGAAAAATATATTCGTTTTCGTTTTTAGAAACGTACCAAGTATCAAGACTCTGATTTGGTAAATAAAATAAAATATTTATATTTAACTACATTACCTAAAGATAAATGAATATACTTTCAAAATCTATATTTCTCTTTTATGAATTCGAAGTATCTGGATTTTTAAAATCCAGCAAATTAGCTTTAGCTTTCTTATGCTACTGTCCTAAACAGATTTCTGAGCTTTCTTACGCTACTGTCCTAAACAGATTTCTGAGCTATAAATTCATAAGCTTACTTTATTTCACACATCAGTTTCTCATTTTAAATTCTGAGGTACAAACTATTATTCTCCTTTGAGAGTTAAATTTGTTGAAGAATTTCTGCCCTGAAATGATGAATTAAATCCCTTCGGGTAGGATTACTAAATAGGACTGACACAGACTGATACATCTGTTACAAAGGTATCCGTATTCTCAACCGTGTTTGCTGGTGAATATTCTTCATTCTATCATCCCAAATATAGACGATCTATATTCGATTGGACGGATAGGGTTTTATTTCAGAAGTTTGTATTTTATAATGTTACGGAAATGAATTCTACTCTTCGTGTGAAAATAAGTATAACTAGACTGTTTTCCAACACTTAATTCAAAGAAATGCCTAGTTTAATGTTGACCACACCAGGCCTTGATTGTTTTTGTATTTCATAAGTTATTAACTATTATTGTCACATAATTCAAGAATCTTTAAATGTACTACGTAAATTATTAATGATATTTTAAAATTTGTCATTTTTATCACTTTTTACCATGAATTTATTCTAATTGTTAAAGATATTAATGCAACTCAAACAATGATGAGTTCTTATTCATAACTTTTAATTAGTAAACATACAGATATCTGTGACTTAAATATTTTCCTAATGTTAATCATGCATCCATTTAACCCGAACTTATTAGAGTGATCTTTCTCCATCGCAGATACACTATATGTACTTTCAGCTCAATAAGTCATTTTAATTAAGACTTGCTTTAGAAAATTTTATCTTTGGTATATGCACAAGATTTTATTTCTTCGGGTAATTTTTTTTCCAGTTTCAGAATTTTATATTTTATATTTATAGATCTTTAAAATATTACATTCAGACATCTTTTTAAATATTCAAAGCTGAAATTTTCATTTGTACTTCCTTGCCATCATTTATAAATTATATATTTTAATTAATGCAAGGCAAATAAATACTTTAAAACCGCACTGTATGTGTAATGAAGGATAATTATCTCATTCTAGCAGAAAGTTAATAAGCAGAATATATTTAAAGAATAGGGTCAATTATTGTTTAATTAATACACCACATAATACTACGATGTATGGTATGTTGTATGGTATGTAGTGATGTTGTGTAGTGGACTGCGATAAATCAAAAAACTTAAAAACCCAATGGCAGACTCTGTAGAAATCTATTACTTTTAATCTAAATGCTCCAGGACAGGCTCAGATTTTTTTTAACAGCTAATCAGCAATACAGATTTCCGCTCCTCCCCCTTCTACCGTATTCACCAGGCGTGACCGCAAGAGATTATTTCAAAACACTGAAGCAGAGCATCTTCGTGATCCACATTACAGATGATTGATGTATGTTGTTCGAGAAGGTTTAAAAACTGCGACCAAACACTTGCCTGAATTTGGTGCTTAACGGATTGCTATGTTAAGAATATTGAAATCAAGAGAAACTTTGCAAAAAATTGAGAAAGTAATTTCAAACATTTACCTTGTAGAGTCATTAGGGTGTTTTTTTTATGCTGCAGGTGAGAAAAATGAGCAATGCCCTCGCCAAGACTCGAACCTGGACCTCTTGAATACGCTCCAAGTGTGCTACAGTTACACCACGAAGGCATGCAGAAAGGAGGGAGAAGATACTCCCCCTTTTAAAGGGCAACTGGGGGTTAAGGGACCCAATCGCCAAATCCCGGTGGTGAAGAATCATAATCCACCATATTTTAGTTCGAGCGGCACTGTAGAATTATTTTAGAATTTTTCGAAACAAGGAAATCAAAGAAATCCGCAATGCCCTCTCAGGGACTCGAACCTGGACTTCAAGAATACGGGCCGAGTGTGGTTATATCGTTATACCACGAATGCATGCTGGACCGAGGGAGACAATCCCTTATAACCTGCATTAGAGTGTTAAGCTTAAAATTTATTGAGCGCTCCTGGTAAGTGGAAATTTTCTTTAATCTATATTTCCGCTTTTAAGCTATCCTCATTTTCATTTGCGAATTGCGAACTCGAAACATAGCATTTCTGGACACATTTCACCAATATTCTGTGTATATTAAACACTAAACACCTACGCAAACATTTTTAAATGCAGGTTAAGCTTTTCCGTTTTCGCTTTAGCTAAAGGATGGTGAAAAATACATTAGTAATTGCGACTCACAGAACGTCATTCCAGAGCCAAAATAAACAAGCATATTGTAATTTCTTGTGTATTGGGATTCTTGTATATTGTAATATGGGAGTCCCATATTTTAACAATTTGGGGCATGTAAAAGTAGCATTTAGCTTGCGTTAGCTGCATTTTTTGTATCTGTCACAAAATCTCATTATGAAATCTTATGAACATATAGATCATATAAGCTGCAAATTTCTTTTGTAGGATGGCATTATCCTGTCATGCTCACAAGTGATTACTCAACGTGATTGTTCATTTAAATCGCTGTTTATGACTGTCTTCATGAATTTAAACAAAGATCATGCATGCGTTTTCTATACTCAGATTTCGCAATAAATAGTTATACTTCATTTTGTGAAGATTGTGTTCATTCCTACCTGTATCTTTCCAGAAAAAAAGAAATGAGTTTAAGATTCGTAAAGTTTTTAAAATTAAGACTTCTTTTAATTCAATGTTGAAAATGAGAATTTCAAATCTCTTGTATTTGAATCATCTGCCAAGTAAACACTCGAAATCAAAATTAAATTGCGGCTAAATGAAGGAAAATGCTTTGCATGTTAATTTAAATAAAAACGAAAGTTTTTGATAACATTACAGAACGCAAACCAGATAACTTCTTTTTAATTAAGCTCCATTAACTTTATGCACATTTTTTTAATTTTTAACTGTAATTAGCTCTTTTTAAAGAAGTGATACCCACTATGAAAGCGGGATCGCCAACAGCCGGGCGTTTAAAGCGGCTGAACACTGGTAGCTCGGTCCGGGATTCGAGTTTTGTCGAAAGGGCTCGCTGCATGGGCGCTTTCGTTGTTTTTCCCATGACGTGGATTCGAGCCAGTTTCCCTTAGATAGTCCTCAACGGGGCATCCCTCACTTTCCGTATAGTGCCTAATGCCGGAGCAAGTAGCAAAATAAAATAAATACTACAAAAAATAACCATGCCACCAAACAAAAGGAATCGAATGTAGAGATACTTCTGTATTCGATTCCTTTTGTTTGGATGCATGTTTCCTTTTTTAACGAAGATTTTTTTAAAGATTAAGATTGGGAAAGTGTCTCTAGTATGATTCCTGAGAGATGAGAATAAATTGTACGAAATATTTGAAATTCTGGTATTGGTTATCATTTAATTAGAAAAATCATTCAGTAAAACTTGGTGAAATAAATTGAAACATTAGACGAAATAAATAAATCAATAACTTCTAATTTTAAAATAAATTTTCAAGAAAGTGTTTATCATATTTAAATATACCTGATTAGTAATAAGTTGTATAGTAAATATACAATTTATATTTTTGAAGCACAGCATTGTACATGAATAATTTAATAGTTATATTATTCTAAAATCTAACAAAATAAAAAAGTTATTTATATTTGCCTAAACTGTAAATATTATGTAAATCTTTAAAAGAGCATGTTATAGCAAGCTAGACAGCATTGAATTTTATGAAGTGAAAAAGTATAAATGTGTAAAATATTGGCTGGGTATAATTTAAAACTCAAATAAAAATTTCTTACTGCATATAATACAATCTACATACAACATTTTGAATAAAATCATTTCATAGAATTTAAATGTGTTCTGTACACTGATGAAGTATATTGAAAGGCATGTAACAAGGACTCATGAATATGTGACATTTAAATATTATGAATTAAAATAAATATGCTGTTAACTAGTCCTCGAAACTTTTGAAGGCTGTAGCTGAAAACTGTAGCTGAAATAAAATAAATGATAAAAATAGATTTAGATAACTTATAAAAGGGATTGAAATTTAGTACTCTTACTAGTCCTTTAACGTACTCTGAACAAACTGCAACATCATGACAATTTATACAGTTGATCAGCCGATTGAATATGATGTAAGCTATTTTCTAATACATTAATAAATTCTTTTTCTTCCTGAAGGCTATACACAAGCAAACTTAGCATAATTACACCTCTAGCTTCTGTCTAACGGAACAGGAAACAGAAACAATTGAAAAAAGAAAAATGCTTCTTGTAATGTAACAGGAAAATCTGAAAAACCATGCTCCTTTGAAGAAGTAAATTCTTTGTCTTGCTCTTTCAAAGCAGTACAAAAGCACGAAAAAAGTGGGATATCGCTTAAGAAGGGATAAAAATGTCAGGCAAAAAAATTTTATCAGAGAAAGCATTATTTCATTGCTCTTTAGTAGCTTACTACCCGTCCTCAGGCTACTGGAAAAATTATGTAGTGCTGAATTTAACCGAGGTATTATCTTGATTAACTTATGGGTTGCGGAAAATTCCAATGGATTTCATTCGCCAAGCTAAATGAAAATCTCTTCAAGTATTTCACATACTAGTGGAATGAAAAAGTACAAAATTACATTTAAAATAAAATATGGTAAAACGCATGAATATTTGTAAGAAAGCTTTACCTTCGAGGATTATGTTGCAAATAATGAAAATATTCAGTTCAATGTGCATATGATTCCTTCCAAGATAATTTAGGTGCGAATTACATAAAGTCTCAACAAACTGTTGCAAGGAATTCCTCCAAAAAAATATAGAGAGAGAAAAGAACAAATGAGTCTACCAAAATTAGACTTAAATGAAAATGGAAGGCTGCAAAATCTAATCTAAAACATCGAATCAATGTTTTAAATTACTTAATATTTCGTGAAAAAAGAAATAAATCAGCAGTCGGGATGTTATCTAAAGCAAAAGAATATGAGTTAAGAAAAATTTGATTTATGTAAGTTCCAAATAACTTTGTAAGGTTATTTGGAACCTTACAAAGTTATTATTATCTCCTTATTTATTTATGGGTTTATTTATGGGGTTATTTCTCCCGCCTTCTAGCATGCCTTCGTAGTGTAACTGGAAGCATACATACTAGAGGTTCGAGTCCCAGTGAGGGCACTGCTCATTTTTCCTCTCTCTTGCTTCAAAAAAATCCTAGTAACTCTACAACTTTTATTCACTCTTATTATTTTTAAGCAAAATGAATTAAGAAGAAATTTTTAGTATGAGATTTTAATTAACAAAAGATTTAATTGCGGAACCATTTATGATAAATAATTAAAATACTGGTCAGAATTGCAATATAAATTACAATGGTTATTTAATTCCATACGAATTTAAAGTTTTTATGAAACAACGTATCGATAAATAATTTTTTATCGATTTTCTAGCAATTTTCTTAGAATGACCATTTAATGCAGTGCTCTATTCTTCAGCTCCTAAGGGCCTGATTTTACACGACATAACTATGTAGCACAATTATGTATCTAAAAGCACCTGCTCTGTGTACTAAGGTTGCTTGGTCAAGTATACAGTGGGGATGCTCACAGCAGCCGTTGGGTGCTCAAGATAATGAGTTGATAGAGGTATTACCAGGAGATCAAATGGAGATGAACTAGTGCCTCTTCCACTTCCACCCCTGCCTTTACTCTTGACCAAGCGATGAAGTCATCGATTTACTTCATCACTTGATATAGTTTTAAGTAGTATATTAAAATTATGCCAATTCATATGCTTTGAAGGAGTTAGTATCGAAATTCGGGAAAATTTTACGAGAACCATAATGCAGCATATTTCCAGAAACTAAATATAAATTTTAAAAATCAAATATAAATTTTGATTTCTTTTCTTTTTGTTTTCTTTGTATCACTTATTTATAAGAAACTTCTTTCAAATTTCAGGCCTTATTTGGAGTGAAATCAAACAACTGTGGGACAGCGGTCCATTGCAATACATAAATGACATGTGGAATATTATAGATTTTATAACCAATTCACTTTATGTTGCAACTGTAGCCCTAAGGATCATAGCATATTTTCAGGTAATTTTTCAGCATTCTCTTTCAGTTATCTTCCTTTTAACTCTTTTCAGGGGATAATGTAAAATGCAAATAGCTAGTTAAAAAGGATGCTACTGATAGACATTCTATACACCGTGCCCATAAAAGTCCTTATGTGGCCTTTATTTTCTCAATCGTTGGTGTTAAACATTTACTTCCAACTACAAGCATGATGTTTCAAATCAGTTGTTCTCAACAACGTTCCTACGGAGCCCCAGAGGTCCTTATCCACTGAAAAGATCTGTTGCAAATTTTCTTCCTGAAGTTAATTTAGGGGTGCACGGTTAATGGCGGGAATCCTCAAACAGTTTTTAATAAAATAAACTAAGTATGACGCCTTTTCATTGCTATGAAAGCTAAAATAAATAGCAATAAATAAATTGGAAACAATTCTTACATCTTGGGTAAAATTAAAAAAAATTGCGCCCTTTTTTAACAAACAAACGTTATGAGTGAGGTAAAAAGGAATGCAGCCAATATAGTGTTGAATATTTAAAATATTACTTCATTCCGTTACCAGGTATAGTACTTTACTTATGTACCTTCTATTCAATAAAACTTTGTCAAACAAATCAATGAAGCTTAAGGAACATTTAACAAAAGACCACAGCGACAAAAAAAAAAGATAAAGATTTAACTTTCTTAAAACAACCAAAGACAAATATTTGACAACACCGTTATTGCGACAACATTTGAGGAAAATGACGATGACCTTCGTGCTTCTTATAATGTTACTTTACTAAGCGCAAAATCGAAAAGCCACACGCCATCGATACAGAACTTACTACTCTACTAGCTATAAATGAGATAATACGCATCGCGCTATGTAAACCATCTTTCGATATTATAAGGCTACTATCATTATTTGTTTCGGGCGAATAAAAATTTCAAACAATTGTTCTTCTATCTGCTTTACCACTGAAAGAAAGATGTACGATTTTTTCCTTCCTTTCAGAAAAAATGTGTAATTTGTTCATTTTCAACAATCAATCAGCTATTAGCATCGAATCCTCCATCATCAACCATTGTATATAATGGAGAATTAGTTTCTCTTTTACTTGATACCTTAAAACGATCCATGGTGACTATTTTACATCATGTTACAAAATTCGTACTAAACAATGGTTCTTACGAAATGTTTTGAATGTGTAATACGACCTTTAAAAGAATTGCATTGAATATTACAGTATAAAGAAGGATTGACGAAATGGCTCAGTGCACAGGAAATTCTTTATGTCAGTTCTTAAAAACATCTGAATTCTCTATTCAGCTTGACGAGGTAACTCTGCCTGGAAACAAAGCCTTACTTTTATCTTATGGGAGATTTGTAAAAGAAGAGCAAATTTAGCAAAATTACTTACGTCACTTTAGCAAAATTAAAGAAATTGATGCATAAGGGAAATTATTCAAATTCGTATTACTAAGATACTATACAAACAGAAAATAAAATTCTCCCTTTAAATGAATAAAATTACATTAATTATTTTGAAATTGAAGTGATGTGCTGTAGGCTCTGAATAAGAGTGTAAAATCAATTTGTATAACTATTTTCAAAATATTTCATTGGTAATTCATGTGTAAAAACAATTTTTACCTTCTAATATTGGAATTATTTGAACTGGATTCTTCTAATTAAATCATTCTAAAGTGTTTTCATTGTTGCATTCTTTATAATTCTGAATGAACATCAAATCACCGTAAAGGCACCCTTTTCTTTAATAATACAGTGCTCAAAACTGTTAGGATATATTGAAAGTTCGGTATGAAATAACATATAATCGAGAACTTTTTTAACAAAAATTAAATAGAAGAGGTTCAAAAGAAAAATTATAATGTTTACAAATTTGGAAATATGCAAATTTTGTCTAATACGTCGAAAACTGCGCGTTTGAGATAAGGACTGAAGAGCGACCTTCAGCGTTCCTTCTCTAAGAGAAGATTAAAAACAACTAACACGTGTTGAATATTTTGTAACAAAGAATGCGATGTTTGAGCAAAATGACTTAGCTTGATCGGTAACCTGAAGGGCTATCGGTCGTTTAGAGGCGGATCAAACGCAAGCCTTTGTAGCGGAAGTGTTAAGAGTTTCTTAAAGTGTCATTTCCAGACTACGAAATCGGTTCTTTTGGAAATTGGGAATGTTCACCGAAGATCAGAACAAGGTCGCTCGCCTACAGCAACACAAAATGAGGATCGTTATTTAACACTAAGGCAAGAAGAAACCGCACTTTGAACGTCACTTCCTTGCAACAGTACCTTCAAAGGGTTAATGGTACCAGAGTTTCAACTCAAACTTTTTTAAACTGACTCCACCATGTGGGTTTGTAGGCTCGTAGATCTAAAGCTTGTGTTTCACTGACACATAACCACCGGGCAGCACGCAAAAAGTATGCTTTTCGGGAGGGACGAGATGAGTGGTGTAACGTCTTCTTCCCGAACGAGTCCCGCTTTAGTGTACAACCTTACAATAGGAGGATTCTCATCTGGAGAGATCTTGGTACACGAAATACTCCTGCTTTTGTGTATGAAGGTTTTTTTGCGGAGGCGGAGCGATGGTCTGGTATGGTATTTCTATCAATGGCTACACCTACCTGCACATTATCGCGACCGGAGCACTAACGGCTCAGTGATATAGGAATGAGATCCTCAGACCTATTGTGGTTCTTTATGCTACAGCAATTGGGGATGAATTCATTCTCGTGGAAGATAACGCCAGGCCACGTCGTGATCCGCTAGTAGACAGTTTTCTTTTCGACGAAGGAATCCTTCGAAAGTATTGGCCGGCATGTTTCTCAGATATGAGCCCAATAGAAAATGTTTGGGATTTTCTATGGAAAAGTATTGCTAGTCGCTGATCACCCCCAGAAACAATTCAGCAGTTGAAAAGCTCTCCTCTATAGGATTAGGAGAGAACACCCCACTCTTCTCATTGATAACCTCATTGACTCCTCAGAAGTGTGCGGTATTGCTTTCGGTCAGGAAAAACCATATCATTTACTGAAACTCATTTGTATCCGAAAAATCACATTTTTTGTTTACTTGTATAATGTTAATTTTTTGTTTACCGGCAAATATCCTCAATAAATTTTAATTATTCCTTGTTCGTTACTTTTTTTCTATTCTCATGTCTTATACCGCCTATACATCATATATCAGTCACCAAAACAATTCCTCATCCGATGTTTGTATCTAAAATCATAATATCCCCTAATTGTTCTGAGCAGTGTAAAAACGTTTGTACTAGTAAATCAATTTTTCCTAGGTTTCAATGAACGGACATCCTTCTTTATCTGAATTGTAGTGCGTTTACGTCTTCTTTATTTTATGACCATTTCTAGTTACATTTCTAGGTGCAAAAAGAAATAGCCGAAGACACAGGAACAGCTTATCTACCACGCGAAAAATGGGATGCGTGGGATCCTATCCTCATTGCCGAAGGACTTTTCGCAACAGCCAATATTTTCAGGCAAGTTTCTTCAGTTCTTTCTCACACATATAACAACTAATATTAAAAGATGTCAGAAACGTGGCGTGATATCTTCTACGTTGAAGTTAATGACTTTTTTATGCTTGTTTCGATTTTGTTTATTATTACGAAAGGGCATATACTTTTTTTAATCTAAATTTTGATGGAATATGCAATTAAATATTAAGGAATGAATTCAGTTTTCTCTCGATTTTAATCCAAATAATTGATAAATTTATTCATTCAAATTTTTCGTGTCTAAGACAGATCATAATTTAGATATTTGCTTTTTTTAGAACATCTCGTAGAATATCTTGAAAATATCGGCTGAAGTTTTGCAGGGAAAGCCATTTTTTTTTTTTTTTTTTTTTTTTTTAATTTATAGAGAATCAGGTTATTAAAAAGAACACTTCAAATGACCACTGGAGGAAGACTGATTAAGTCTTGACCATGGAACAGTCTTGACCACAGAACATTTCAACACCAGCAACGATGGTTCAACACCAGCAACAACGGAAAATTTCAACACCAGCAACGATGTTTCAAGCAAGGGTTGGTCTTGCTTACTGTATGCGCTTACAAAATCTTCGGCATTTTATTAATTTTAAAAATGGATAGTGTAAATCAGAACTATTAATCTACAATGAAAAGTAACCAGATTAAATTAATATTTCTAGCTGTTATTTGCCGTTTCTGACACGTTCTAATTTACAAAAAAAAAGTGTTTTTAATTAGTCCTCATGATGTCACATGTTATACTACCTCCAAAAGTGAAGAACGTTGTTAATCAAATTCAAATATCAGATGCAATGAAAGTGGCATGTTTTCTTATGATTTATGAAACAGGAAACTACTGTTAAAGAAAGACATTTGTTTGAACGGGAACGTAAAGTTCAAACCCACATCATTTGCGTCAATTGGTGGTTTATTTTCAAATTTATTGTGATATAAATAAAATAGAATTTTCTAATTTAGTAATTTTAAAAGACTAAATAAAATGCCTAAATAAAATTGTAAACGCTTAAATAAAACTGAATTAATGTAAGTGCTTAAATATAATTGAATAAAAATGCCTAAAAATTGGTCATCTATATGAAAACTAATTTTACGGGAACTATAATAGACTATAATTTTCACTATACAAAATGATCTTTTTTTTTAATTTTTTTTAAACTTTATTCTACTCATAGGCTGCCACTACTAAATCTGTAAAATAATTCAAAAGACTGTAAGGTCGTATTTATGTACTATGCGTTGAAAACTTCTGAAAATATAAAATGTTTCTTTACACATGGCCTCGAAGAACGAAGGCTCATGTTGGTAAAATATCCATTATGCTTTACAAGCAAAACGTTCCTTATTCCTGCGTCCAAAATTCAAAGGGATACGTACAATAAATATTTTCATGAAATGTGTTGAATTCTGTTCTCTTTGCGGAAATACTTTTCTCTACACGCAGTATTTTCAAACAAGATTCTTCAGCTAATATTTTCAAGAAAGTTCTGTAGTCCTAATTACGAGTGCTACCTGTATTTTACTCGAAATTTTTTTTTAAATATTTCCACAAATTTTACATTTAAAGGTGTGGATCTTTTTGTATTTAACTTATTAAATTATGTTAAATACTCAACTAATAAAAATTTCAAGTTTTATAATTACAGCCTTCCAAACCACAGTATTGAAACTGTTTTCATACAATAATTTCTCATTTTGGGAAACTTGGTAAATGCAAGTACATGTCTAGAATCAAGATTTAAGGAAATAAGAACACCAATGCACTTTTCGAACGCCCTGTAGAAAACAAACATACCGGTAATTACTGTTTCTGAATTATTTAGCCTGTAAGAAGTCATCAATGTAATATGAAGACTCTGCAGCTTTTCTAAACTAGAATTTTGTTTCCAGATTTACTTGTGTTTTGTTTTTATACAAACTAAGAATTTTTTTTCCATTTTTCCAAAAATACACATTGTTTCTGAACTCATTTTCTGGAACATAAACTCCGAAATTTATACTTTAAATACTTTATTTTCTCTTAATTTTCATAAAGGAAATTACCCTCATCTCTATTTGCAAATAAATTGCTATCGTTATCACCCTAATAGTGTTCCAAATATATTTAAATGAAGATGCGGAAAGGCATGAAGTTAATTAAACCATGAGTAAACCACCGTAGATTAAACCATGAGTATTTTAAACGTATAAATAACGTGAAGAATTATGAGGAATTTTCACATTTCTCAGTGTAGGGTACAAGCAGACAGCGTTTCCAGCTAGTAAGCTGGAGATCCGTGGTTCGAATCCTCACGGCAGGCAGAGCTAATTTTCCCACACCCTGCATCGAAAAGCCTAATTATCTTTTTGAAGTAAAGAAAATAATATTAAATGGTCTTGTGAAAAAAATTACCATTAATGTATTTTTACTAAATAATAGGAGTTATTAGCTGAATTTATCAAAGCCGTTATAAAATAACTTTAATTTCAAAATAAGTTTTAATAGAAAATAGATCTGCCTTAAATTTCTAGAAATATGAGTGTCCGATTTCTAGTTTATTACAGTACAATAAAATTCTGATTAAGTAAAAGTAGTGAATAACACTTAAAGGATACGTTTAGAAAAAAGTTGCAAAAGAATGCAACCAACACAAGTGCTATTCATTCTCATCTGGTTTATTTTCACATTATATGTTACTGAAAACGAAGCCCCTAAAAACTATAGAAGGCTGAAAATTGAACATAAAATGTATTAATATCATTATAGATATTTTTTAATATGCAGAACGCAGCTGTGGTGAATGTTATATCGAAGACAAACTAAATCTCGACCATGTATATGAAATACCAGTAAAACTAACCAGTCGTCCACAGATATAATTTCATACTATTTAGCATTAGCCTGACGTAGCACGCGGCTGTGTATATTGTCCTTTCCTTAGTTGTTTAGTTTCTTTAGTTCTAAACTTTTCGTTTTGTTAATTTCCTTGTTTCTTCAAAGTGCTAAAGATTTCCATATCTGCACCACTATAGAGAGAGAGTGAGAAAAAAGAGATAAAGTATGTAAAGTTAGTATCAATTACATAAGGTGAATTTTATAACAGGAAAGCACAAATGAAAAACAATTGCATCAAAACCTTGGGAAATGAAACAGGAATAGAAGTAAATTAGCGCTAAAACAAACCGAAATTCGCATTATTTTAATTAACACTTGATAATTTTTTGTCTTTCTCAAGAAACAGCAGAGAGATTACTAACTAAGGAAGTAGCGTTTCTGACTTATATCTGGATGAACTGCAAAATTAATCAAAGAATTTTTTTAATTAGAAATAATTAAATGAGTTAGTACAAAGTTTAGAATAATTTTTAATGATTTTTTTTTTTTTTTTTTTTTTTTTTTTTTTTTTTTTAAAGACCGAAGACCGAACTTGCTGCTTGCTGTTATCTGAAACCAATCCTCAATCACGTTCTTCCACGTCATTCGAAATTAGTTCCATAACTCTATAACAGACTAAGAGTCTAGTTGCTTTTAAACAAAAGGTTGTAGAGACATTAGGTTAATTGGTAAAGCCGTAGAGATCAAAAATTAACAACGCCTTCACCGGGAATCGAATCGCGAACCTCTGGAATACCAGCTACATTCTGCTGCCCACTACGCCCCGAAGGCTCGCCAAGAAGGTGGGAGAAATACCTTATAAGGTATAAAATTTATTAACTTTAAATTTTAGAATTTAGTAACTTGGAAATCCGTATTGGTACTCTGTACAAGTTACTAAGAAAAGACAAATGGAAGAGAAACCAAAATTTCAGAAATGGTAAAATTGATTAAAGTTTGTAAATGCGGATTATTGTAAAATATAAAATTCCAAAATTTATTCAGACAGAGGACTCAAAAGGCCAAGGAGGAAAACCAAAATCGAAGAACAAAATCTGATGACGGTTACAAATAAAAAGAATGTTTTAAATACCAAAGTTAATTGCTAGAAAGCTAATTTTCCCATACAATGGAAATTTGAAATTAAAATACTGTTTTTAAAAGCAGGTATAAATAAAAAGGGTTCGAAGCTACAGTAAAAAGGAAAAATTAATAAGTAAAATTTTATCCAAGTTTTACTAGTTGTATTGTTTGATATACACAAGTTTAGCTGTAGAACTGCTGCTGATTAAAAATAGAAAATAAAAATAACGCTGTTCTTTAAATTAGGATAATCTTATTTTTAATTGTAAATAATTGTAAAAATTATTGTATTGTATTAATTGTAAAAGTAATACTATTGTTTATATTAAGAAGGTGAAAATTTTTAATTTTAGATTTAAAATTGGGATATATTGCAAAGAGAGCTTTATTTTACTAAAAAGGGCAAAACTAATCGCAAGGAAAGTAGAAAAAAGAAGGCAATAAATTTAACAGCAAAAAGGTCTTAACTGTTTGGCGAATGACGGGACAGGAATAGAAATGGCCTTTTGTAGGCGGCAGTGCCAGTGGGAATTTTTACAGATTTCCATATTTAAATTGTTGCGTATCCAGTAAATACCTCATCTTCAGATTTAAATATTTCTTATCATTAATAAGAAGAAAAACTAAAGCCGTGCAGTTTTTGAAGTGGCAATTAAAAAAAATTAACAGCGATTTTAATGTGAATAAGTGTAATTTTGAAAAGATGAATTTCTTTATGAAGGGCTTCAAATTCAGAACAATTTTTTAATTCTTAAAATTTGATTGATTATTCTGTAGCCAACTACTTTTTTAGAGATAATGGATTACAGTTGATTAGTTTATTAATGTTAAAGCTAAACTGTCTTCTTTTGTCAAAAAACATATTTTATAAAATTGCGAATTTAATATCAAGGTAATCAACATCGTTGTTGTTAGTATTTGTTTTGTTAAGTTTTAAACATTTTGAACAGATACTGGCATTTTCAGTTAAACTAAAGTTATTGTATTTAATAATATCATCAATGTATTTAAAGTAAATTTAAATTTTTATTTTGCTTACAGAATTGCATGAAACTAAATTCTCATAATTTATTTAATTATTTCTATTTAATTCTGGAAAGATGTCCTAAATTGAAAGAAGACTATTTTTGATTTCATTTAATGAAAGAGAGGTGAAAAGATTTCCAAAATCATAGCTTTTCATATTATTAATGCAATTGTTTCAAATAATTTTCATAGCATATATTATTTTTAAAAATCCATTAATTTTTATATAATTTGTTAGTGTTCTTGGCAATGTGATTACAACTTTTATAAACATTTTCTCAAGTGCTTCAAATTTTATGTTAATGAATTCTCATTTAATGGTTTAAAATTTTCTTTGATTAATTTTTTAATTCATTCAAGTATAATTCAGAAAAGTGACTCTGCTGACAACTCTTTCGGTTGCTTCTTGACAAAGTCTAAAGAATTATCAAGCATTATTTATTCTTACGTAAATTTTCTTTCCCTTTTGCTTTAATTTACTTTAGTGTTCGTTTTCAAGTTCAATTGTTTAATTTGTATCTTCCTTTTAGAAAATTCACCTCATTCGGTTTTTATTAATTCTATATATTTTAAATCATTCCTAATTACTTAATTTCGTAGCATTCTGCGCGAAACTAATAAATACTATTAGTTTCGAGAAGTTAGTTTTCGGATATATATATATTTGTAATAATAAAATTCCATAATCAAGAATACACTTAAAATTCTAACTGTATGTCTTTTCTTTTTTAATGGCGACGTTCTCTTATTTGAAAGTACGTGGAATTAAATCCACAGCCCCGTAGTCAAGTTGTTTTTCCCGCCTTTTCTACACGTACAGTTATAGAATGTTCTGGAAATATTTAAAGCGAACTGGATTGGCTGACGAGGCTGACGTCATTTCTTGGAAGCTCCGCCTTTCCAGAGGCTATAAAAGGACTCGCAAAGGAATATCGGGGCTTTTCTTTAATGTCACGATGCAGTAAACTTCATACAAAAAGTTATTAGTAATTCTTTTTTATTTACTCTGAAGATCTGATTTTTGTAATTGCTATTTCCCCTGAATAATATTATAAATGGATCCTGTTTTTTAAACTTATCGTCTGATTATTTAAGCTACACTAAGCTGATACAAAAAAAAAATATATATATATATATAAATATATGATTTTTTTTCAATTCTGAAACGTGGCAAAAGAAATATTTTTCTTCATCGTGGCAAAAGAAGTATTCTTCCTTTTGGGTTACCTTTTCTTACGCTGAAAATGACTAATTTACAAGTTTTTAACAATTTTTTCCCGAGACCTATAAAATTACTAATTTTTATTCACCTTCTGTTCCTTTACCCTCAACCAATTTTTCGAACCTGATGCTTAGTTACTTGTCTGCTTTTCTTTGAAAATGTGATTCATTTTTATTTGTTTCATTTCAAGTTTTACTAGATTCCCATACTTTCTAAGTATTTTTTTTTATCCTTTTTAGTTCTCTGAAACTGGTGTACATTTTTTCCGTGAACCCCTACCTGGGACCTCTTCAAATATGCCTTGGAAGAATGGTGATTGATATTATTAAGTTTTTCTTTGTATACACATTGGTGCTTTTCGCATTTGCATGCGGCATGAACCAGCTTCTCTGGTATTATGCTGATATGGAGCGACAAGTTTGTTTCTCCGGTAAAAACGGTCAGGACAGTAAACTGGATCATTCAGCTTGTTTCACGTGGAGGAGGTTCTCCAAGTGAGTATGTTCAAGTACTAAAAATAATTCATCTACCTGCCAATTAAGGATATAGATATATTTTACAAATTCCGATTTTAACTACGTTTCTTTTTTTTTCTTCGTTTTATGCCTATTTAGGCTGAATAAAAATTTGAATATGTAACATATTAGCATATTGGGAAACAGATTATTGGTATATTTTCAGCTATTAATAATTAATATACGCAAACGAAGTTTTAAAATTATGGAACAGAATGTTGATTTAATTCACTAAATATTGTGATTTAAACCTCTTGATGGTTGAGAAATTACATTACCTTCCAAAAGTTAGCAAGGGCCAATAAAATAAAATATTACTGCAGAAAATTACGTTTGAAGTAACTCCATATTTCACAACACAATTAGTAGCCACTTTGCATTAGTTAACGCAATTATAAACTCAAATAATAATAAAAAAGTAACAAATATATTGATGTTAAAGTTCAACTCTTTAATTACCTACTTCACCTAAGGAACATATTATCCTCCTAACTGCTTATTTACATTTGGTGCATTTAACAACAACTCTAATATGGCATGTTACCTTCTCTGATTTGATGCAAGCTACGCATCGACTTAGATTATTTTAAAGCAGGAGATGTGAAAAAAGTGCAATGTCGTCTCCGGGACTCCAACCTGGACCTCTCAAATACGCGCCGAATCTGCTACCGTTACACCACGAAATCATGCTGGAAAAAGGGAGAAAATACCTTATATTCTCTCTTCACTCAGCTAACACAGCTCTGCAAGGTAGGTAATAACTTTCATTCACGTAGAAAACATTAAGAGTCTTAGAGAAGTTTTCGGTAATTAATTGGCGAAGCAAACTTTACCGAACACCCCCCCCCAAAAAAAAATCCGCTGAATTTCGATGGAATTTACATTCCGTAAAAATACGCCGACAACTACACGTAATCAATACTTCTCCGTCAAGCCTTGTTCTTGTACGAGAGCTGTCTTATACTGAGTGAAAACATATACCTGCTTATATATAGCGCACTCTTGCGATATATAGCGCACTCTTGCGAGGTCACATGAACGTGAACTTTCTACAGTTACAGCAACCATTTTGAACACACGCAAGTTGATTTAGTTTGGTTTATTGATTATGGTAAGGCACGCGAGGGTTATCTGCTTAAGGGAAGGGATGCCCTCGGGGACATCTTTTTAACCAAGAAAAAGCCAGCCCGGTTTGCCTAGAATCGAACCCAGGTCGAACTTCGAGTGTTAAAAACGTAAGTGTTTAAAGATACTGTTGTGTTGATTGCATGTTGTTTTCTTTGGCCAAACTCTTGGTTACTTTTTTGATTCTAGAAGTCTGTTGTGTGATTTTAGGATGAATCTCAGTTCATTCGTGAAGAGTATATTGGACCGTTGCGATTCTGTCCAGTTTGTATGATGACGGTTCCACTTAAGTCAGCTTCTGTGGGCTTAGTTCCTGCAGGTATACCAGGCATAAATTTCTTCGGTATTTACGTTTCTCCTCCGAATGCTTGCAAGATATCGACTTTTCTACTGCTGTATCAACCACTGCTTTAACACCAGATGCGGTCGCTCGTTGTAGAGATTTCGTTTGGCCATTAGCATGATAACGGTTATCAAGGTTTATATTACCTTAGAACGATCTCATGGGTCTCGGATAAATATCCTGCTTGTTTGGAATTCTTTTCGTAATACAGGAATGTTAGAACAGTCCACAAAAAAGAAACTGGCGACTTCCTGAATGAACTGCTCTACAAGGTTTCCATAAGCAACCACTGTTGAAAGGCTTCTAAACGTATTGTTTATTTCTTAACAAAGATAGTGAAATACAAAACCATTCATTAGGAGTTGACACTCATTAGAAGTTTCCTTTGATCAAGAAAAGCTTCATGCATGGTTGTTTTGTATGCGCAAATGAATCAATTTAGCACTACTTCTAATTTACCTACTTTTCGCGTAGAAAATCTTTTTTTTCGTCATATCATTTGATATTTTTGTATATTCACTGATAACAGCAGTAATATTCACCCATTAAAATCCCTGTCAGCGATTACTATATGAGACTTCACATCGCATACTTAACTTTTGGGAGGTAGAGCATCATAAATGAGAAGCAACAACCTGTGTTAGGCGCAGATTTTTACCATAGAAAATATACCCCTAAAACAGGTTGTTGCTTCACTTTTATTATTTATTTGAGGCGTGTTTCTCTTCTGTCTTGAGGTAGAGATATTAGAAGTTGAAACTTTTAAATGAAAATCACGATATGAGAAATTAAAACTTCTTTTTATAAAGGCATCAAATGGATTTAAAACTATAATTCATAGAAACAGAGATATATTTATTAGGTACCTAATTTAAAATCGTAACCTACAGAAGTCACTATATATTTATTAGCCGTTAATTTTAGTTAATCTAACTCTAATGTGCATACATATCTTATAAAGTGGGAAAAATTTATATTACTGTTTAAAACATTTACTGTGTAAAAACTTCATTATTACAGTAGTTTAAAGAGAAATATCACTAGCATCTTTCTGTATTAAATACAACCATTTATTAAAGCATTTTATTCAAAATCCTGGTAAACCAGCAAACAGTCCCAGTAAACTAGTTTGTTATTTACCAGCAATAGTAGCAAGTTTAAATAGCACGACTGACTATTTAAACTTTGAGACCTATCACTGTTATAAACCATTACCCAAAAAATGCTTTTATGCTTGATTTACTGAGCTATTGAAGCTTCTCAGTCAGTTATCGAGTATTCTTAAGGAGCCTCACGTTTGTGAGATGTTTTAATAAAAACTCACGAAATGATAGTAAAGAGATAATAAACAAATTTTTTCTCAATTAATAATTTTCAAGTACATATGCCCTTTTCCACTAAAGGTAACTATTTTTCCCATTTACGAGTTTCTCTCTTAAGCTCAAAGAAATAATTTTACCCCATTAATAATACTTGTTCAATGATTTCTATTACAGTTTGTTTGAATCTTCGCAAACTCTCTTTTGGGCGAGTTTCGGTCTCATAGACTTGGATAATTTTGAATTGACTGGGATTCAAAGCTATACCAGATTCTGGGGACTGCTGATGTTCGGTTCCTATTGTGTTATCAATGTCGTTGTCCTCCTCAACCTCCTCATAGCCATGATGAATCATTCATACCAAATTATTTCCGTAAGAAACTGTTTATGTTTTTGTAATCTTTCCTAATTCGTACTTTCCTATAATATTTTGCCAGTTTCATTATGATGTAACGAAATCATTTTATCAGGAACACGCCGATGTTGAATGGAAATTCGCAAGGACCAAACTGTGGCTTAGTTACTTTGAAGACGGAGCAACAGTGCCTCCTCCATTCAACATCATTCCTACTCCTAAAAGCGCCATGTATCTCTTTCGCTGGTTGAAAAGGAAGTTCTGTGCTACAAGAACTGTCAAGAAAAAAGATCTAAAAACAATACGGGTAATTTTCTCCTACTATAAAAATCACATAAGTTCTGATTTCAATGTTAATCCTGCCTTATGACACGTTCTTGGTTTCGCAGTGAAATTTAAATCATATTTTATTCAGGATTTAGCTTTTAGAATTATTTAATATTAGTGTAGTATAAGTTTTCATTAAGTATGTGTATTATATGAGGCTTATTCTTCAGAGCTGAGAAATTGTATCATTTTATTCGCAATATTTTCCAAGTTGAATATTAAGATCTTATTATCAGTTTCATTGACCTAATTAAATTTGAGTGTATGTATTGACCTTGTGCTTTCTTCAGTTCACAGTCTAATATTTAAAACATATTTTATTTTGAAGTTCTTGCCTATTTTTTCTTTTAAGTGTATCAGTTTTCGTTTCTGTAGATCAGATAGTTTAAAGATATCTAATTCTTAAGTTTATTTATATTTTCTAATGTTTACAGATATTGCTAACATTTATAAATATTTTCTAATATTTGCAAATGTGGCTTTTATATTTTATAGTATATAATAAACTGAGTTGTTTTTACTAGCTGTAATCGCTTTTCTTATTGTAAATGTACTCAATGTTGATGCTATATTGAATAAATAAAACTAACCTTTAAAAACTTTATATAAACATGACAGATATGTGATGATTTTATAGACCGCATATGTCTATAATTTGCATGATTTTTAACGATCGCATACTATGAATGATGTGATGACACATAATGTGTATGATTACTATTTTAACACGATTTTTTACCTATAAATGAGACGTGGTAGAAACTTTAAGTACTATTACTTGAACTGATAGCAACTTTTAGTGCATCGTTATGTTCAGAATTTTGATTTAATAACTGCGCGTAAAAACTATGAAATCTTTATTCATTAAATTCTTTCATCATTAATGATCTACTGTTTTTTTCCTTTCATTCTCCTCACATCCCAAAGTTATTAATAGTGAGTATTCATTTTGTTCTGAATGATTCTTCATAGATGCATGGAAATGATAGTAAGACGTACATTTGTTGAGCATTGTATAAGCACATATAGTAACTTGACAGCTTTCGCATTGCACTTAGTGAATGTGTTGTATGCTTAAAATATTCCGCCATTCTATAATATTAATCATGTAACAGATATTCATAACAATTAAAAATTTTCCCGAAAAAAAGATTATCACCCTAGATTTCGACTGTTCATGCATGTGCATACTGCTAACAAAATGCACTCGTCTGCTACGCAACTGGCATCTTAGACACTAGTAAAATCCACGCTTACAGCAAGTCAGCATCTACAATATTTAACATGAAGTGCTGTTTAATTTAAATGTTTTATAATAAAAATTTAATCACCTCTCTACCTGTGTAATCATATTATATAAGTAGAGAGGTGATCAATAATATATTCTTGAAGAACGCTGTATAGACTATCTTAGGATATCAATAACTAAAACTTCTTAACTTCACATTTACCAGCACCCCGTTAGTGTATTTGGCCTCGTATGTTCAAGCTTCGTACTTTTCCAACGTCACAGCAGTATGAGAATTTAATAATGTGTACGCATCTCTTGCCATTTCTATCATTTCTCTGATTTCTCATATCTTTGCAATTAGCTGTTCCTTTTTAAAGCAACACTTTGATGGTAAAACTCGGTTTGGCAGCTAAAGGTTTACTTTCTGTAAGAACCGTATTTTGGTTCTGAAATCGCATAATACAAGTTTGAAACCAAAAGAGGAAACACTGTTAAGATTTTTTTTTAATTTCTAACAACAACGATGGCATCTCTTGAAACCAATGCCACTACTGCCTATGACACCAAACTCAGAAACTCAGGTAGTTATTTAAATACCTAAATAAAAGTAATATGTCATATAAAATATTGGTTATTGTAATGTGTCATTCTTTCGGTCATTATGTTAAATTTCACATAAAAAGGAATAGTAATGTGAAACTTTTGGGGAAAGTATTGTTGTTTTTTTAATTGATTTGTATACGAACTTATGCTTACTCAATATAGTCTTGCACTCTAATATCACGCATTAAAACTGAATAACTTAATGAACATTTTTCCGCCGCAGTGATTACTGCTAAAGTGTGTTCTTAAAGAAAGCCTTTTGTATGTTCATGAATCTGAAGAATGCTTGCTTTGGTTTAAAGAATGCTTGCCTGAATCTTGAAAGTTTCTTACTGATCAGAATTAAACAGTGCTCTAAAGTTCATAAATATAATTATTTCTTTATAATTCTAAGCATGATTCATTTGTTCAATGTTTTTAGAGGAAAGCTAAGCAAGCGAGTGAAAGAGACCTACGATACAAGGTAAAGCATTACTATTTTACATTTTTTAAATGACAAGTAATTCTGCTTCAGTCTTACGCTTGTAAGAAAATGTTAAACACTTTCTATGTTCTGAATTGTAAAATATACTATACCATATGTTTATCACTTATTTATGCATAAGTGAAATAATATTTTCATTCTGTGGTTTAAATGTCAAAATACACATTATATGTATTTCATTTGATAGTTAATATGTATTTTCTTGGTTTCAGTTAGCACTATCATAGAGCGCTATACATTTAAGATTATTCCCTTTCATTGAGTTTATAATGTACAATAAATAACGTAATAAATCTAACTATTCATTGAAAAGCACATTTATGTTTAAGAAAATAATATACTAGAGATGAAAATAAACTTAATGCTTTAAGCACAAAGATAAACTACATCATGTTCCCATAAAAGTAATTACGTATAATCTAAACAGGAATTTTTACTTCTGTTTTACATTAAAGTGCTACATATCTTCTAGAGCAAAAAGAAAATATTTTTAAATACACGTGAGTTTTCTTTTCAACAAAGTACAAAACAGTTACTGGTTCTTGGTGTAAAATATCATTATTATATTATCCAGTAGCACACCTTCCATAAATGTACCTTCTCAATTTTTTATGGTCTTTCTTAAAAAAAACCTCTGTCTTTTATCTTCTAATATTTATGCTTGCAATTTTTTGTATCACAAATATATCTGAATATGAAGGATCGAAATTTCAAGTAGCATATTTCCATCTGGCAGAGTTCAAAATGAAACTCGTTCGTTTAAGATATAATGTAAAATAATGAGAAAACTAAAATATTTTTATAGATTTTTTATACAAAAATAATAACTGATTTTATTAAATTTTGAAAAAAAATTTAATTTTAAAGAAAGGACAACAAAAATACCTATTAATAAAAAGGTAAGAAATTTTACATATTATTACGCATACTGATGAAAGTTGCTGCATACTACGCTTGTAGTAACTCAGCTTTAAAATAATAAATTAAGATTATTTGCTTCATCATATAGTTTATTTTTTCGAGTTTAAACTGCTTCTTGCAGAAGCAGCGTTACTATGCATTCTGCTTGGGCTTTTCTGTACCAGTATTATCAAAAGGTTTGCTACAGCAAGGGAAAATTGAAACCTAAATTAGTAGGGATTAAACTACTTCAATTTCTCCTTACGACATTATCCACTTAACGGCATTTAATAGTAATTTAATATTTTGTAACTTGTCGCTTCTATTTAAACTATTTTTGATTTTACGTTATGCTGTAAATAATGAATAACCAGTTTGGAAGCCAAAATTTCCAACCAAAAGTCAAGTTATACATATAACATTCACAAGCTAGACTGAAATCTTGTATGATTAGCAAATGAAATTTTTATATCTGATTTATTAGATGTAAAAAATATACTAAATAAATTATTCCATAAAAATGTAAGCAATATGTTTGTTTTGAATAAATTTGTGTTGCTTGAATATTCCTAGAGAAATCACTTATAATGTGGAAAGAGAGTAAAAATTACAAATTACTGAAGGTTTCTTTGTTTGAATTCACAAGTGGGTGCCGACGCCAGCCCTTATCTTCGATATAACAAAAACGCATTTTTCAACAGCGTAAAAAGTGAATCATTTAAAAATTAATCTATCTGTAATTTTGTACAAAATTTTATACAGGCATACTTTCATAGCTTAAGTATGAGAGCTGAAATACGTTGTAATGTCAGTGATCTCGAACTCAAATCGCGTGTGAGCTAAGTTAGAAGCTCGCTAAGTGTATATTTTTAGCTTCAGTTTTAAACACAAAAATTTCCGAAATGGCTTGCACATGTTTTTATAAAATTTCGTATTTATACAGAATTTGGGACTTAGAATCAAAATTTGAAATCATTCGGCATATATTTCAGAAAAAGTTCAGCTTTCTATCAGTATTAGAGCAATTACTATATATATAAATCTAATATACACTCAAGAGCCAAAACATTATGACCACCTGTCAATAACGAGTTGGGCCACCTTTGGCGCGCAACACTGCTTCAACCCGCCTTGGCATGGATGCCACAAGTCCTTGATAGATGGCCGGAGACAGATTGTACCAGATGTTGTAGCAACGGTCACGCAAATCCGAGATATTGCGAATTGGTGGTCTTTGACCTCTGAGCTGCCGTCCCATGATATCCAAAATGTGTTCTATCGGATTGAGATCCGGTGAGTTAGGCGGCCAGGACATTAACTGGAAATCAGCATCATGTTCCTGGAACCACTCCAACACAATTGTAGCCTTGTGACACGGGGCGTTGTCCTGTTGGAACATTCCATTTCCAGCTGGAAAAACAGAGGCCATGTAAGGGTGCAACTGGTCCGCAATGATGTTCAGATACCCTGTAGCATTCATGGTCTGCTCTACCATAACCACGGGTCCCAGAGACGCCCAAGAGAACGTCCCCCAGAGCATAATACCGCCACCACCGACCTGTGTATGACCTACTGTGCATTGAGGGAGCAACTGCTCGCCTGGAAGACGGCGTATCCTGACACGGCCATCGGCGGGATGAATGACAAACCGTGATTCATCTGACCAGACAACTCTATCCCACTGATCCATGGACCACTCGCGATGTTCCCGGGCCCAGCGCAGGCGCAGTTGGCGATGACGCTTGGTCAGCAAAGGTACACGAGTTGGACGTTTGCTGCGTAGCCCCCATATCCAACAGTGTCAGCTGAACAGTGTGCTCCGATATTTTTCTACTTGGCCCTGCATTGTATTCTGCTGTCAGCTGAGTCACTGTCTAGCTCCGGTTTTGCTTTACCATGCGAGACATTCTCCGACGACCTTTCTCTTTGATAGCGTGTGGACGTCCAACACCATGTCGTCTACTACTGGTTTCACCGTCATTCATCCACTTTTCATACGTACTAACAACTGTAGATCGCGAACAACCCACGAGTCGTGCAGTTTCGGAAATACTTGTTCCGAGCCTTCTAGCCGTTACAATGTGCAAGTCGCTTAGATCCGCAGCCTTTCCCATCACACACAGAAGTAAGTGAAAGAATGATTCTTCAGACTCTCCAGCAGCAATTAAATACCACTTCCACCTGATCACGTGCCTTCCACATCATCCAGGCGCGTTTCATCGGAAAATGTAGGGCTGGTCATAATGTTTTGGCTCTTGAGTATATATCCTAAACCTTACTTTCTAGAAATGAAAAATGCAAAATATAGAACTGTGCCTTTTTTCTCCTCCCTCGAATCACTATACTTAGACTTTTTCATACCACCTGACAACGAATTTTCTATGCTTTGTATCTTTTACGTATGATTTTTATAAACTCGGCTTTCTAAAGTTTTCCGAAATAGCCAACATAGCTCATTTAGTAGCACTGCAAGCACTTCGTTTTATATCCGTATATTCTGTGCAAACTTTAAAGAATAAAATATTTTTATAAAACTTTAACGTCTGAGTATGTTATTTTTGAGTGTCTCCTCAATAAGCAGGGAACAGCACCGCAACTCTCACTGTTATTACAGAGTTCAAATTTGTTGACATGTCGAAACTTAGCAGATGGAAAGATCTCTGTAGAATAACTACTATTATTTTAAGTTCTACTGAGATGAAAAACACTGAGCAACTTTCTTTTGCATTCTCCACATACATGATATTTAACTAGCATTTTAAGAAATACAGGTAACGACTATATTTATTAAATCATTTATTTCCAGTTATTATAAACTGTATTTATTAAATTTATAAAAGATTGTATGTGTTTATTAAATTGATTAAATCATAACCCGACTGTATTTATTAAATCATTTATTTCCATTATTATTGCTTTTCTCATCAAGCTCTTCCTAATCTCTCTCAATAAAAAAGGATTGGAAATAAAAAGAGCAATAATAAAAAAGTAATAAAATCGTGATATGATGTCAGTTTATACAAGAATACGTATTAGATATTGTTTAATCCTTTAACATCAGCATTTTCAATTATTCTAACCTGATCTAACCTGATCTCTTTTAAGCGTACTATATTATATACGTTCTTTTTGTATTTTGTATATTGCTTTTCAAATTAGATTTTTTTTTTCATTTTGTGTTACTCGAAACATGTACTGAAGAATTTATAGTTAATGTATGTAATATATTTAAGTACATAAAGGTAGACAATATGTGCTCAATTAAGTAATTTTTTTTACAGAAAATAATGCGAAATCTTGTAAGACGTTACGTTACTAAGGAGCAGAGGAATGCTGATAATCAAGGAGTGACAGAGGATGACGTAAATGAAATTAAGCAAGATATATCTGCATTCAGATTTGAACTTATAGAGATCATGAAGAACAGTGGCTTTAACACGTCTAGTGCCAGCGATCAGATGCAAGGTGGACTCGCGAAAGGTATATAAAAAGTTGTCATAATCTCTTTAGGAGATGAAATTATCATATACAGAAATATGAACGGTTAATGGATAGTTTTACTTTCAGCCGCTCTATCAAAGAAGCAAATGGACATACCAAGCACTCTTTTTAACCCGTTATGAAATATGCGCAAGAAAATAGTCTAAAACTACGAAACACAGAACATAACAGTAACAACTTGGCTAATATGGTAGCGGCACTTGTATTTTCTCTTGTTATTACGGGTATAAAAAGCTACAAGATTTGACTTGTAAAGTATAATTTACAATCTTATAATGTAACTTCTAATTTATCACAATTATACCATACAGAGACAAAGCTTAGCTATATGCTTATTGCTCAGATTTATAGATTTTAATAATTCAGAATTAAACAAAAAGGTATTCGCCGCCATTTACTGGATAATAACTCAGTTAAACTATTTATGCGTTTAGTATGCAGTTATACCTGCAACTAAACTTCAGCCGCCATAACTCTCACCTATCTAAAACTAACAGTTAACAGATTTAAAAAATGCTCTATAAGTCACCAGTACGGCGGGTACATAAAACAAGAAGGGCTGGCTGAATCACTGAATAACTAGAAACTCAAACATTGCCAAGTTAAACTTTCAAACTTTTAGCTACACATGGCAGTTTAAACTTATCCTTATCTGCATTCTGGTGAAGGCTGATTAAAATGTGGAAAAAACAAAAAAAATTAATAAAAATAGCTCGTTATTTAGAAAACTTTACAAATTTACATACGAATTTCATAAATAATATTTTTTTCAGAAATGTGTTTGCATTAAAAGCAAAGCATAAAATCTTGATTTAATAAATAAGTATTCTCAATTTACTCATATGCTGAGTTATAAAATAGTGCATGAATAAAAAAAAGCAAAAATACTTTCAAGAATGACGACCCGATAGATTTGGCTTGTCATTTCTGGAACCCAGAATAATTCCACCCCAAACGAGCACTCCTGCACCACCGTAACGGTGTCGTTCAATGATGTTTTCTTGGTGGTAACGGCTACCTGGAGCACTCCATATGAAAGTCCGGCGAGAATCAGACTGCAAGCTAAACCTGGACTGGTCGGAAAACATCACACAAGCCCACTGTTGCGGTGTCCACAATGCATGCTCTCTACTCCAGGCTAACCTCAGGCGACAGTGAGTTGCAGTAAGTGGAATGCATCTGACAGGTCTACGAGCATATAAGACCAATCTGCCCTAAGCGTTTGTACACGGTCTGCCTTGAAATTGTCGTACCAGTGGCTGAAGAGAGCTGACGAGGACAGGTCTGAGGCTGTGCTCCGCCTGTTTTTTTGGCAGTAACTGCCAAATACCGGTCCTTCATTCGGCGTTGTAACTCTGGGGCGACCTGTGCTGTAACATCTACTCACATACCATCATCTTTGAATCGTTGCCAAAGCCTGGAGATGACACTCTGGGCAATTCCAAGTTTGTCTTATATTTCCAGTTGGGTACGCCCACATTCCAGACGGCCGATAATTCCATCCCGTAAAAAATCATCCAAATACATCCTTTATGTCATAACTATTCGGTTATTGCACTAAAATGCTTATAAAGCACCTGCGAACAATTTTACTTCTTTGCCTGTATTCCTTATATATCACTCTTTTACACTCTCGTCATTGTGACGTACCATCGGTGTCATCTGGTTACTTCCTGAAATTTTCATATGATTCTTGAAGATGTGTGTAGTGATTTTACAGGTGATATATTTATTTTAGAGTTCGATTTCCGCGTGACTCCGAATTACCCTTAATTTTTGGACATGAGTGTATTTAAATTCTGTCCAACAACGATAAACTAGTTTTGCTCTTTGAATAAATACTTTATTTTAAAGATATAAAACACTTGAAATTCAAACAATATTACTCATTTTCTAATATTTTGAAGCGTTAAATCACTATACAATAGAGTACAGGACTATGCTAAGGATTAGTCAAATTTCAGAAGGAAGACAAATAATACATGAATATTTATTCAAAAGGAAGACAAATAATACATGAATATTTTGATCTACACGTCCTTCATTTAATCTATCTCTAGTTAAATCATTTTTCTTCGTAAGAAATTATATACTTTAATTATATCACAAGATTCAGTCAAATATTTCATTTGATGGGAAATTAACAAGGATACCCTTGGTGTCAGACTCACTCAACGAAGATAAGATGGAATTATAAATAATGAGGAAAATATTGTACGCATTTATCAAATAAAAGTTAGATTGTTTTATTTCATAATAACACTGGAGGCCATTTTTTCATTTATCATATATACTCTTAACATGTCTCACTCACACGCTGTTTAAAATTAGTAGCCAAAGACTATGTTTCTTGAAATTTGGATTCTGAACAGGTACTTACAGTAACAAAATTTCTCAAAATAATATAGAGAATTTTACAAAAAACAATTTCAAGACTGTGGTATTTTGCATTCTATAGAATTATTACGTTCATATCTGAACACATTATATTATTATATTATTAACTTTCATAAGGTGCTCACTCAGCAAAATGCGAATTAGTGAAATATTCAATACATTTTACCTCACATACCTCTAAGTGAGAATTTGTAGAGATATTCCTAATCAATAGTATCTTCAGTCAGCTACAAATGTAAAAGAGAGTGATGACAATGTAGAATATTTTAAGAGTGATGACAATGTAGACAATGTTTCAGACAATGTAGAATTAATCAGCAAACCCAATAAAATGTGTTTCACAACTGTTCATTAAACTTGCTTGAAAAATCTTTCTTGAATTTATTCGTCAATATGCATTGAAAATTGATGCAAGTATGTAAATTGCTTCTGGAATAGCTTCGCGAATTTTTCGAGCTTACATTTACTCTTTAGCATCAATCAAGTTTACATTAAGTTTTAGAAACTTATTAATGTATAGTAAATATTTCTCTAATGGAAATGTTGACTCTGCACATAGCAAGCGAATATTAGATTCCATATTTTCAGAAACTTTTTGAAGTTGAATTTGAACTTTATATTTATAGAACTCATGAACCAGAACTTTGGGCCTAAGTTACTGCTGAATTTATTTTAGGTGCTTAGTTACATCAAGTGTTAATGCTCGATTACGTAATTTTAGTTATAATTTGTAGCATATTGCTTCATGCATTGTCAAAATTACTTTCATAAAATTCTCCACTTCCCTTTGAAAAACTTTGTGATTGGATGACCATGACTAAAACAAATATACAAGGAAGTGTAGCCTAAAACTATCCTTTCTCGAACTGTATACTTAATAAGTAGCTCGCAGATCTTTTCTAGCAAATTTTTATATTTTTCATTTCCTTTGCATTATTTTCAACATCTTTTGGTCATATATCGAAGTTTCCGTTAACCGCCAGGATAATCATCTTCAATTTCAGTTTGCTAACAAATTTTGAGTTTCATAAAAAAAAATGAAATTTTGATAAATTTTCATGCTTTGGTAATTCTGTCTATAAGTTTACCTGATTATTGTCTGCAGTTTTCTGTGTACGAAGTAGGTCGTGTTTTTGAAGCTCCATATTTTTGTCGTGGTTATGCAGAAAAATTCCGTGCTAATAGTCGTATCATACATTATCGAAAAGCATTTGGTATATCACATGTATTGTTACGATGTATATGAAAGTTAACAGCGCCTAATTAGGGATTTCGAATTGTGAAGAAGCATTGCGTGATTGCATCTAGGCCCTCTAAAAGTGGCGACGCACATCGACTAACATCGCAAATTTTATCTAAAGAAGCGGGATAGAGCAAAGCTCATTTTGATATTAGTTAGTTCGGAGACAATCGAATAATTAGAATGTTAACTATCCCCAATTTGTTTTTATATACAGTAAGACCCCGCTTAACGCTGTTTCGTTTAGCGCTGTTTCGGTTTAGCGCTCTTTTATTTCAACCCGGGGATTCTCCGAAATTGTGCGCAGCCCTAGGTTTCCAAATAACATATCCGAAACAGTGTAGTTGTCTTTCTTGCTTTGTGGACGCATTTTTATCATTTGAAACATTTGTTGACATTATTGTAAGTTTAAATTTGTATAATACTATAACGATTAATATAGTGACAAATATTATGATCTTTAGTTTTATCATGGGTGATAATAAAAAACAAGAAAAGAAAGCAACCAGAAAAAGCATTTCACTGGAAACTCAAATGCAAGTGATTAGAAGATTAGATTCTGGTGAACGTCAATCTCAAATTAGTGCTGCATTGATTTTGGCAACTTCAACAATAAGGACAATTCTTAAGAATAAAGAAAAAATATTGTCATCGGCAACTGCAACTACATCAAGCTCTGCAACTAGAATTACCCGTTCTAGAAATAACATTATAGAGGAAATGGGAAACGACTGTCTATATGGATTGACGACGAAATTGAACGCAATATGCCATTAAGCCAATCTATCATAATGCCTTCTTGACAAAAAGGCAGAAAATTGGAAACCCAGAATAGACTGAATGATCTGACTAAGAATTTTATTTGTTTTTTAAAAGTATATGCGTTTATATTGTTTTTATTTTTGTAAGAAATAAATGTTTGATTTTATTTTTATTAAAAAAAACATTATTAAATTTAATGCCTAACCATTTTTTATCCGTCTTCCCCTAACCCCATTATTTACATGTTAAGATAGCCTCGCTTAGCGCTGTTTCGCATTACGCTCTACTTCGATGGAACGTATCCCCCGCGTTAAGCGGGGCGGGAAATTCTAGCAATACCCTTTGCGGTTTTTAAGCTTTTAAACACGGACTCCCCGCTGCGAATCAAACGGAGGACATCAATCACAGCGCAACAAAAGGAACTGGAAATATCAATAACTTGGCATATCGTCGGAAATATTCATCAAAATACCATCGTAATAATTTCACCTTCAACAGCTAGCTAAGATGATTCCAGAATTCTAACTTTCCAAGCAATCGGCTAATTAGTTTTAAACTGCAACTTAATATCAATAAATGGACTATTAACAGCAACGAGGGATACGACTTTTCGGCAATTAGGGACTTTTCCTTAGCTCGTATGGCTATTCAGAACGTGAATTCAATAAACTCCCGGTATGGCCCTTGCAGGGCACCGAAGAGTGTTGCTCTAGACATTTGCGGAATACGGATAATATCCGATCAATTTAAGTAAGTCGCCTGGTGTCCGAACCCGCTCTCACCTGTTCACCTATAAACTTACTTTTAATTTCTTAAAATGTCTAGGGAACTAAAATGGTTTTTAGTACCAAAAAGAAAAATGTTTTTATAATTGCAATAGCAAAACAAGAAGTAATTCTCCCCCCTCCATCAAAAAAACAAAAAAAATCTTTTAAACTCATGTGAAAGTTGGAACATAGTTTTAGGAAGAGACTTGTTTGGATATCATTGAAAAATATTAATGATGCAAGCTTTCGCTTTGCGTAACTAAGAGCAAACTCAGGTTCTCAGGAAGTTTGACATGTTTATTCTGCGTGTCATTCCGGTTTCCCAAATCTGTAGGAAAGATTTTCTTTGAAGTAATAAGTTTGCATACAAATTATTTGTTGAAGTTTGAGAATTTTTAAAAATATATACTGCCAAATACTATGTCAAATTTCACTTGTAAGTATGTTAAGTATCCAAAAACATGTTTATGAAGTAGAAGTCAAGACCTTGCAACAGACTTTTTTAAATATTTAACTCTTTTCGTTACATCTTTACATAGAAACAATAGGCAAAAATTTACGCACAAGCATAAAATAAGATTAAGACTTGAACGCTACGTATTTTTTAATAAGGGATTTTTATACTCTTAGTTTCTAAAACTGCATCCTGCCTAATATAGTAACACCTTAGCTGAATTTGCTATTACACTTTGTTCTGATTATTCAAAAATAAATCATAAAATCATCATTTACTGGCATTCTTTACCAGTTAGCATCAAAAGTTGAAACTCGAAAAAGGCGATTTTAAAATATTCTAAATTGTATTCTTGTACGTAGATGAGACTACTTCAACTTGACCTCATCATTCATTTTTTCTTTTGCTTGTACAGCACCGTTAGACTGTCATATTCTGTTAAATTACGTTTTATATGAATTGAAATATAATCTTTTTATTTATTTTTGCTTTCAGGAACAGGAGGAAAGAAAGGCCGTCAAAAAGAACGCCGTCTGATGAAAGGTTTTGACATTGGAGTTGTGAAACAGCCACCTAATAAGGCAAATCAAAAATCAGACGTTGAGGCAGCAACGAAGTCCCCTAGAACACATTGGCTTAAGCTGGCTAACTTAGCCAATGGAAGAAAACAAGCTAAAAGACCACAGGGTGCAAAATGGCCTTACAGCGAAAGAAATTCTCGCAATTCTAAAAGCAAAAACCAAGACAGCTTAAGGAGTCAAAGTATGGAATCAGTCAGCTCAGAAGTGACATCAGAAGCAGAAGCTACGCACAACGATACTACCTCTAGTGAATCTTCGTTGAGCCTTACTGCATTGGTCAGCGGCGATCCACTTTCAGAAGCTGGAAGCAATAATGGTGTAACCATTGTTGTTAGCGATGATGAATCGATGAAATGCGACCGTGCTACAAATACGGATACACCAGCTCGACAGTGGTCAAAGTTAACGAAAAAACTAAATGCGCTCACCTCTCTTACATCTTCACGCTTTCGAATGGCCTTCCATGATGCAAGTCCTGAGAAGGATCCACAAATGGACCACCATCATACAGCAAAATTACATCACAGCGAAGCTACAAAGAAGGCTAAAGCTAGACGAACGGTAAGCGCGCCAGCACCAAGTGCACATCCTAAGCATCACCCCTTAGTTATGAGGCCTCAAGGAAAGACGCCATATGCTTCTATTCCATCTGTGAGTGTCTCAGTTCAGAACAATGCTCATAATATAAGCACTCTGTCTGGAAATATAGGAAGTGTTGAAGAATCACCTTCAAGCGGTAAATCAACTTTAAACTCACCGTCTTCCCCTAAAACGCCTAAAATGAGATTACAGGAACGCTTTCCAGTGCCTACGGTTCACATCGAAGAAGAAGTTCCCGTTAAGGGAACTTCATCTAAAAGGGCATCTTCCAGAAGGAGCAGCACCATAACAAGGAAAGATTCCGACATTCCAATTGCCTCCTCCACGCCCGAAAATACAACCCCGACTGTTCCCATTGCACCCCAAAATCAGCCTGCAACTCCTATAGCAACAAGTCAACCTGTAAGTCCTCATAAGCCTAGTAATGGGACTCTGGGACTAATATCGACTGTTTACGGGATTGAACCTGTTAACAAAGAAATGAGAACTGGCTGGATATGACTCGGAATCACTTATTAGCGGTGCCAAATCAATTATTTTTGTATGAATTTCTTTGGCACTTAAAATCGAAAAAAACTATGTTTACAGAGACAGGCCAATAGGCAGTTAAAGTACTCGTTTAATATTTTGAAGTTTAGATTTCCTTTTTAATAGAATATTTATTTGGGATTCAGTTTTAATCATCACAATGGTTCAAGTTACTTTTCCCTAATATTAAAAAAAAAACTTCTCCAGTAATTTTATAAAGAAGCTTCTTGTATGATCGTACTAATAATTTCTTCAGAGTCAGCTAATATATTTTTTCAACATCTGTCAATTAATTCTGTCTTAATTAGTAGTATTACTTGGCCTAATTCTATTTTTTGAAAGTTAAAATTTAATAAACCAGAAAAAAATGCCATTATTTCCCATATTTCTCTCATTCCAATTATATAATTATTCATTTATTTCATTCGCAAAATAATAGATCCTAATCTCATCATAACAAAACTAAGTAATTAAAATTGAAATAATACTTTTACCTTTTACAACATGTCTACTGGCCAGTTTCTGTACTCAAATAAGGCCTATCTTTAATACTAAGGTTGTAGCTACCAAAATGCTGATTAATAGGACGTCCATTCGAAGTTAAAAATGAGAAACATAACTAATAAACACTGATTAAAATGCATAGAATAATTTTAACAAGAAACAAACGTGTGCTGTTTTGACGAATACCACTGATTTCTTGTTGTGAGATAGGAAATATAAATATGATGTTTTAGATGCTTAAATTTTTGCCTTGGGGTTGTAATTTTTATATTAATATTGAGAAACATTTCTTACCTCAGATGTCCTGATGTATACAAACCTTCCGCAGATAAACTCATAAAACTAACCGCAATACTACTTCCGTTTTATACACATCTGATAAAAGCCTTTGAAAGTCTATGACAGATTTTTATGAAATATAAAAAATCATATCAATTGCAAACAGTGATGTGGTGATAACTAAGAAATGTTCAAAGATATGTGACTTTAGGACTGTAGTTTAGTAGTAACTTTTACAGAAACAATATACGAATAAGTATTTAATAGATGCCATAAATTTAATGCCTCAAACTGTGCGATTTAGTGCAACTGAAAAGCATTTTTACAGTAATGCTTTTTAGACATTGTTTCTGTAGACAAGAAATGTTTTGTTTCATTGCAAAAAAGTTAATTATTACGAAAATACCTTGATTTTGCTCTTTACCTGAATTCTAATCTCATTGTTAATAACTAAATGAGATTAAGTATTCAATTAATCAGCAAACTCACAAGAACAGGATTTTAAAGTTTTCCACAAAACAATAAACTTGCTTTTAATAATATACCGTAAATTTTATCTAAATTATTACATCCCATTTTAATGTAAAATGGAGTCTAGGAGCTTCATTGTTTGCATACTGACTTTTTTTCTCAAGTAAGAATTTCGTCTATTATGTCTTTTCTCATTTCATCATCTTCATGGAAACACTAAAATAATTCACGTTTCTCCATTTAACATCAAATGTGTTTTTGAAGATTATTTTTGCTCTTAATGCTGCAACTGGCAACGGCATTCAAATACTGACTTTTTAATTTTTCTCATTAAGACCAGCACTGTGTTTTTTTAATGTAAAATCTTGTACAATAGCTGAAAAACTATATTCATTAAACAAAACGTAAAAATGTTTTAGTTTATGGTGCGGTTTGCTGGATGAACTGGTGAAACTTTTACACTAAAAACTTGTTTTTCAAAGTTCTTAAAAAGTTCCAAATGTATAACTAAGATTTCTTATAGTAATTAAATAAGCGCAAATTCACATAAAAATATGTTAATGATTTTGTCTGATTTTTCTTTGATTGACTTTGTTTTATTTATGTTTGAATTCCAGAAGGCATTTTCTGTCTTGCAGAATACTTAAGAGTCAAATTTATTTTGCTTGAGAGCTCAAATCAAACTACACAATAAAAGCTTTATCATAAGATACTAATAACTAAGATGTGTTATTGGTAAAACTGTTAAATAAGCTCAGTTATAAGCAGTTCAATTACGCTGTTTTATAATTAGCTCTAAGATTTCAAGAAAGTTAAAACGATTATTAATATGCTTGAAGACATGCAACGAAAAAACCATTTCCTTGGTTTTCGACAATGTTTGCAGCAGTATTATTTTCCGAAGCAGTTGAAAACGAAATGCCAGTATTTATATTTTAGTGAGTAGTTAAGTCTGTAACTTCTGAAATGGCAAAGGGGAGAAAAGTTGACTGTCTGAATTCTGCGAAGTATATCTCTGCGCACACTCTATGCAATTTTAAGAAAATAATTTTATTCTATGCAACTTTTTAAAAGCTTTCAGATTAATTAGTTCTTTTCAGCTATGAGAATATTTTGAAATATTCTGCTTTCAGTTATGCTTGATACATGTAGTGCGTAGGAGCTAAACAAGCTTTTCATACTAGTTACGACTGATAATCTAAAAACAAATAAACAGGCCATGCAGTTATATAATGCAACAATTATCACCGCTTTTTATGATTTTTTTCTTTCACTAATTATTACGCTTCTGAATTTACAAAGTTCAAAATTTAAGTTCTGATAAAAAGTGAAGAAAAACGACAGAAGAAAACCATTTATTTTATACCATAAATTTCAATTTTATGGTTACGGAAGAAGTACTTCACAAATATTTTACAAGCTCCATAAATTTTTTTAAAAATTGTTTGTTCTTAATTTCAGCCAAATGAACTTTACGTTCTAATAATTATGAAAAGAAAGCCAGTACAATGTTTTTATATTCTGTATTTGTATGAATAGCTCTGTGCTTAAGAATCGTATTAAATTTAACAGAACAAACATTTTTACTTAAACTAGACCCTGAATATATGCAACTATTTAAATTTACTGCTTTATCAAAGGTTATTCTTTTCGCAAATAATCAAAAAATCTTTGCATTATATCTATAAACAACATATTATTTTTCCTTAAATGGGCATTTTACATAGCTCTGAAATGAGTGGAAAATTTCTCAGCACATTGCTCTATCACTTACTTTGCATAAGCTAATAGTTAATAATGCTAATTTAATGAAGTTTATCATGGTTATACAGTGTTTGATTCACGTTATGTTAAAAATCGCGTATCATTTCTCCTTTCAAAAGTTAATTTTCGTTGCGAACTTAATACATCTAATAAAATACGACGTCATTTTTTTAACGTTAATGCATTTAGTTGTACATTAGACTCCTCAACATAGCAAAGATATGACTATTACAAAATATTTATATACTTTTATTTTGAAACCAGATAAGCCCTAACTTTCTTCTTATCCTGCAGTGATAACTCTAAGTTACCTCCTTCGACAGATGAAAATAATTTTGTTGAAGCAGTTACAAATTATCTAATTTTCTAAAAGATATGTCAAACTTTCCATCATTTCGAAAGCTCAAACCTTTTTACCAAAACATACACATCATGAAATTATACCTCTTTAACTCGAGTATTTTTAATGTTGAAAGTTTCCTTTTTTTTTTCAGAATTTAAGAGTTCAATACTTATATTGTTGAACTATGCTTAAACATCTGATATTGTTTTGTAGTCATTGCGCATGATATTTAAAAAGGTATAACTTTTACCTTTTTTTTTTTTTTTTTTTTTTTTTTTTTGCATTTTCTCGAAATAACTGTTCCGCTGGCCAAAAAAATTAAATGATTATTTCAAAATAATTGTGATAAGAATTTCTGTACATTTTGCTAGTGGTGTCCAACACATAGTGTGAGCCACTTCAGGCTTATACAGCCTTTTAGATTTGCTGAATATGGATCGTTTTATCCTCCAAATGTTTATCCCTTTACTTAATTGGCTGATTCAAGATGATTGTTACAAATAAGATAATAGTAACAATTAATATTAATTTAATATTATTTTGACCGCTTCTAATAAACAATAAAATTCTTGGCATTCATCTAATAATAAATAATTCATATAATATTAAATCCAACAAGTAGTCAAAAAAGTTTAGTTTACAATAAACAATGTTGAATTTTTTCAAAAGCTAAAGATCATTTAATTACATACTCATATATTAATATTATATCGCCTAAGGACAAGTTTCCGAAGGCTTTTTGTGCACTAGAAATAAAAATATATTATTTTATTTAAGATTCCTTGCTAACATGCTGCTTTGAAAACAAAAGTGTTAACAAAAGAAAAGAAACTACATGTGTTGTTTTCGTAATGTGCTATCACATGACAAATTTGAAAATTCGATTTATTATAATTAAAGTTACTTAAATTAAATTACTTTATGAAACGTAGTGGTGCACATTTCTAAATGATATTTAGAAATGTTTGCGCCCGCTTTTATATTTTGGAAGATTTTTAGAGGTTAGGTGTTATCTGCTGTACTGTATATACTATTGAACATGGAACTGTTATACATGGAACTGTTGTGAATACATTTGCGAAAACAGTTTTCAGAATTATTATTGAACAAAAGTAAAAAAGATCACTTAAATCATTATTAAGTATGGGAGTGTGAACAAAATTAACATCCTTGTTTTTAAAGGGCATTCAAATGCATAATTCATGGCCATAAAAGCATTTTCTTCTCCAAACTTTCATACCATCAAAGTAGTATGAAAAACCTATCACACATTTAGTTTTATGATGTCTTTAGAAGAAATGTGCTTACTGAATTTCTGCAATTATTTAATTGTAGACAGCTTGGAAAAATGACTCAATTAATTCCAACCACCTGCTGTAAATATTTCTTTTGCAAAACGAATTAGTAAAGAAAGAGGAAGGAAAACTTTTTTGCTCAGATGTATAGTTCAAATTACTTTTAACTTCAAAGAAAAGGAGAAAATAATTCATCCGAGTGTTTCGTAAATTTGACAAATCTGTAAATTTCTCAAAATTGATACTTTAACGAACAAAATCAAAAGCTTTAGTAATTTCTGTTGTCTTTGAATCAATGAACAATCAATGAATTTAGAGAACTCAAGACAATTACATTTCCTGGAATTCAAAGTAAATTTCGAAACCCATTTTCTATTCGATTTCAGGAATAATAATCAAAAGTCTATTTAAATACTTAAATATTAGCATACATATTATAAAATTCAAAATAATCGAAGATAACGTAAAACTAATTTTTTGTTTTCAATAGTCTTTACAATTCATACTAGATACCCCAAATTTCTCACGTTTATGAGAAATTATGATGCCACTAGAAAAGTAATATTAGAAATAGAAAATATTTTAAAAAATGATGCATACAATGAATGAAATTGATTTTTAGTCTTGAAATTTCATAATGAAGAATGTAGATTAAGTTTTCCTAACTGGCATTTTGATGACTGAATTCCTTGCAAAAAAAGCGATTAATAAACCAACAAAACATGAACATGAGATTTGAAAAATGAAATTTATTGAATTAATTTTCGTTTTTTCAACGAATTTCGTTAAGCCTGAGTAAGTAAGAAAATTTGTTTAGAAAATTACCTGGTAAAATACTTTCCTATTATTTTATCAAATGTAACTGCACATTTTTATATATAGACAATAGACTGAAAAAAACAATAATAAAATAAATAAAAGATTAAATTTTTTTCAACAATCAAAGTGACTCGTACTATGGCAGAAATTGGGCACCACTTGCACGAAATGCATTTGAAATTTTTAGTGATCTATTTTCCCTAATTTGTTATCTTTCATTTTTGGTACAACTTTTTCTGTATAATGTTTATCTTTTCATAACATTAATTTCAGCACTGCGAGTGATAATTATAAGAAAATTGGCAATATAGTATTTAAGTGCCTTTTTTAACCCAATTTTCAAGCATATTGAGTTACTCTTTTCTTGTTGTTTGAAAGGAATCTTTTGAAGTAACCTGATATGCAAATAAAATTGTCAAAGTAATGAATTTCATGCCCCTTCATGTCAAAATAAAAATCAAGTTATATCATGTCTTTCACAGTCTGTTCTAATGATAACTTTTATTCCTTTTCTCATAGCACACCATTTGAACTGCAAAGCTTCTTTATTTATGAATAATTTCCAAAACCATCTCTTAAAAACATCTGTTTACATATTTCATACTTTAAATTAACAGTGTACTATTTGTAAACACACTGCCAAAGAGCAAGCAAGAAATGCTCTCCCAAGAAAACGGACATTCCCTTTTCTTTGAAAAAAATGCAATGCCATTAATTCATTAAATTACCTTTAAATCTCTTATATGTTTATACTTCTAGAGAATAAGAGAGGTTCACTAACTCATAACATAATTTTCATTTCTAGAAGTTTCAAAACTCTTACATGCGTAAGCAGGAAATTGTTATCGAACTTCAAGTGCTGATAAAGCTAGTTTAATATTAAATACTGTTAACATGCGATTAAAAAAAAGGCGATAACTGTTTAATCAATTTTCCATTACTCTTATGAAATTAATTTTCCCTCTTAAAGGAAGAGTTTGGAAACAAAAAACACTTGAAAAATCTAAAGTGCGAAACAAATTGTTATGAGCTTAAGTCTCTTGAACTGTGTCATTAAGCCATGCGTTAGAGTTACAAATTACATAACAGGCAGTCTTCCGTAAATGAAGTTATTCTAGTTAATTATATTATTCTATTAAGATAAATTGTGCCCATTCTCAGACTTTTTTAAATATATTACTTAAGTCTATTGACTAAATGAAATTTACTATTTGAAAACTGCAAGCCAACAATCTCCTTATTTCAGGAAATTAGATACAATGAAAGACAGTAAAAAAATCACATTACAAATTACATTGCAATTACGACAAATAATAAATACAAAGACAATAAAAATAAGA